GTTATTCATAACTACATTTTCTGCAAATGTTGAAAGCCAAATATGTTCAGGTAGAAGGAGGACCTTACATTTCTCCGGCGGAGTGATGGTGATGGTCTGTGCTGTGAACTCCTCGTCGAAGTAGCGTGTGTCCGTCTCTGAGCTGACCTGCGGCTGGAAAGGAGGGACCAGCTGCAACCAGACAGGAAGTAGAAGGAGACAGGAAGTAGAAGGAGACAGGAAGTAGAAGGAGACAGGAGGAAAGAGACAGTTATTAAAGCTGAGTTTGCTGTGTTGAATTGTTAATCAATATATTTATTAAACTACATTCAATTCAAAAGGCTTTAATGGCATGTGTCGCCATAGCAATCCTAACAGTAGTTGCAAAACAAAAACAAATAATCTATATTGTGGGGGAAACTTCTGAAGCAATGGAGAGTCAGGACTCAGAGAGACACGAGGAGAGCTGGAGCTTTGATGGCAAACACTGACGGTTTATCTGGAGCTTCGGCCGGAGAATTCACAAGACATGTCAAAGAGCCACGAGTTGACCACACGGATGAGATGCCACAATCAATTCTGAAGAAACCTTCCTCTCACATGATGTTTTAACTAGTTTGGAGGAGGCTAATCCACATTCTTCACTCGATAGACTAAACAGCTGGGGACACTGAATTACTTGAAACTGACGCCTTATGGGAGATTTCCAACCTTGGAGACATTAAACCCAGAGAAGGAAGCGTTCCATATGTCCCCATAACAATGAACTACGTTTGACCCAAAGATGCCCGGTCATAAACTGGCGACAACAACACATGGCAGATGCAGCCCCCCTCTTAAGGGAGATAACAGATGCCAAGGCTGGTCATAAACGTCAGAGGGCAAAAGGTAAACATCTATGGGATGATGATTTCCCAACATATATAAATATATTTTACATTTTCCCAGCTTTATAGTTTGGGATTATTAATTATGAACTGCGCCGTCCTGCATAACGAGTAATTGTATATCTGGTACTTTAAGTATACTTTGATTTAAGTACTTTTTTACTTATACAAAAGTAGGTTCTTTAGGTTGTTTCTATTTCGAATGCAGGTCTTTAACTAACCAGTTACTAATCGACTGAAAGCCAAACCAATCAATCAGGTGGATTCTTTTAAAAAATCAAGCTAAAAAAGTATACATTTAATTGATATTGTTCTATCATAATTTCACAAACAAACCTTACATTAAATACAAGTATGCATAAAACATACACACAAAAATAAAAACATGATGCAATGAAAGGAAACATAAGGTTTGTTTTATTTAATATCGGTACACGCTTCATTCCTTGTCAAGTTAAACGAAGAAATCTTTTTTTAGAGGATTGTTTGGACTGCTTATTGTTCTTCTACTTGCGTAAATATGAGGTAATTGTTTTTCTATTCTGGAGTTAATGCTTTTAACAGCCAGGCTTTTTTGAATAATGAGGTAACCCTGATCCCAGAATATCTCAGATAGGCAGTTTTAGAATAACTCTCCGCTGTCTCCTGCTCTCACCTTCTTGTCGTAGACGTCCTGCCAGTCGACTGCATTGAAGTAGCTGTGTCTCATGATCTCCTTCGCGTCATCCGGCCCGCCGCCCAGCCTGTCAGAACACAGAGAAGAACACATCAAAACCTGCTCCAACAAAGTCTCCATCAATGGACCCAGAATATCCACCTGCTACGCATCCCAAAATAACCGCCGGGTGAGCGAGTTCGCTGCGAAGCTGTTTCTTCATTAGAGGCAGAGACGCCTCCGGGACAATCAGAGAGGGAAATTAGCAGCAGCAGATCTGTGAAACGGCACTTTACTGAACACCAGTTATCACGAGGAGGTCTGTTCTCTGATAACGATGAGGTGGAGGTTTAAACGGGGAGATTAACTGCTGAATTCTGGGAAATAAAACCAAATATATCTTTTATTCGGTGGATAAGAAACTGGGGCGTGAGCGGTCAATATGTTTCTTTTTTTGCTAAACCTTAAAGTGCTGGTTTTGTACTATTATCCCTCTGTGTGTGTGTGTGTGTGTGTGTGTGTGTGTGTGTGTGTGTGTGTGTGTGTGTGTGTGTGTGTGTGTGTACCGTTTGTTGGGGTCCTTGATGAGCAGCCCTGACAGCAGCGGTGTGTGTGTGTGTGTGTGTGTGTGTGTAACGTTTGTTGGGGTCCTTGATGAGCAGCCCTGACAGCAGCGACTTGGCGTCTGCAGACAGAGTTCTGGGGAACTTGATCTCCTCCATGAGGATGAGCTCGAACAGCTTCTCGTGGTCCTGGTTGTAGAACGGCAGGCGGCCGCACATCATCTCGTACGTCACCACGCCCAGACCCCACCAGTCCACCGCCCGGCCGTAGTCGTTGTCCTCCAGCACCTGAACACACCACATGCGACGGATTGAACCACAATGTTTTCTATTAAAAGCAAAATGGAAGCAACAAAAAGCACTTTCATTGACAGTGTTCAGAAGTTTGTAATCAGCTCTGATATTGATGTTTTTCTTCTGTCCTTTAACAATGGCATTTTTAATAGTGGTAAAAAATCATTTGACACTAAATTATCAAAATCTTTCTAAGACGTGACGTTTCACACAGAGGTCAAGGGATAGACGATAGGGTTAGACGTTAGGAGCTGATCTTTGGACTATTCGACCACAACCCTGGCCTGGACTAACATTTTGTTGCTATTGTTAATTCCAGCTTGTTGGATGCATTATTGTTGTGCACATGACACTGAAACAAGAACCTGTTCCTATTTAAATGCGTACACATTTTGATACTGAACTTCAATTTTCTTTAAACCAAAATCTGCAGATTTGTTTGTATTATTATAGAACTGTTGCTAAATATATATTTGTCTTTCTGTCCTTTCAAATTACAGTCTGTTTGAAGCATTGCAATTTATTGATACAAAATAACATGTATTGGACAAGAGGACCTTCTACAACCAAAAGAATAAAGCCATTTAGAAGTATAGAGAAGTCCTGTTAGACATCTCACTGGACCGAATTAAGATTTTGCGGCAGGAGATCTCAAACTTTTGAACAGAATCGAATATTAATAACGAAAGAGGCCATGTAGTTATTTGGTGACCTTAACTGATCTGATATCTGCTTTCCAATCCTCAGAATGTGAATATCACTTTCAAGATCTCCACGAGGACCACATTAGAAGAAGTGAAATAAGGCCCTGACATCCTGCTCTGTTGTAAATAAACATTAAGCTGCCGTTAGAGGAAATACACGTGACGGTACTTCCACAAATGAGACTCCCGGTGGTTGTGGCTGAATGAAAAACAACACGCGAGCAAAA